CTGAGTTCAGAGGATTTTATTTCTAGAGCCTTCCATAATTCTCTGGGATTATCACCTGTCTCTGTTCCCTCCCTCTCCTGGTTATTATCTTTGGATCCTTTCCAAGCCAAGCTGCCTTGATCGCTTGGGGAGACGAAGGCCCCCAGCACCCTCCTCCCATGGTGTCTTTGGGTCTGGCAAGGGTGCCCTTGGGGACCATTTCTTTTCCTTCAGCATAACTCTTCAACTAGCCACAATATCCAGGTGGCCTTGGCTGGTTTGCCTAAAAGACTTTGTCCTCCTTGTCAGGGAACATGGAGGGGGGAGTGAAGGCCTCTATCTCCAAGGTTGGGGAGGGCTATGAGAAGAGTAAGCCCTGGGGTACAGAGGGGAGGGAGAAGGCCAGCTGTTCTCTTTCTTACATCGTGCCAACCTAGCCTGACACCAAATTAATAGCATTCAAATGAGATGCAAAGCATTATGCAAATATTGAAGAGAAGGCCACTCTTACCAAAGCCTCTGGGCTGTTGGAAGGCCAATGCCTGGAGCCCTTTCATGGAGGACCCCATGGGCTTGCTTCCACTTCAGTCCTCATACTTCAGTACCAGCTTGTGTGTAGGACCAAAGAGACTGGCCAGGCACTCAAACTGGCTTTGCCTCTCACGCACTCAGGGCCCCTTCCCATCTAAAACAAGCCCCAGGCAGCTGTGAAGGTAGCATAACCTCCCAGGGTCTCCTTTCCCCACTCATCAGCATGTATGCAAACTAGATGCAAGGTTTTTGCATCTACTTAACTGTCCATTAAAATAGCCCCATGCCCATCACCTCTGCACAGGCCCCTGCTTCCAAATTGCCAACCCCTGCTGCCTGAAAAGCCATGTGTTTCCTGAGCCTGGTAATTGCTGTGGTGTTTGTTGAGCTGTATTTGCATTTGATTGTCATTTAACTTTCTATCTTTCTCCTTCAATCAAACCGGGTAGGGGGGTAGGGGTGGGGTGGAAAGGTGGGAGCTGGGGGGGGGGTGGAGAGTTGGGCTTCTACAACTGATTCTTCATTTTAGCCTCAGTCCTATCGTTGTTTTCAAAGAGCTTCTTTCATTAGTGCCACAAACTTGAACTCTGAGACTTCTTCCTCCACATAGCAGGGGAGGGGCTCCTCCCACCCGGCCCAGGGCTCCTAAGTGCACATGATTTCGCCAACAGGATGGATCACAAGTCCCATCTCCAGTCTGCACGTTCCAGCACCCGCCTCATTTCTGCCCAGCCAGTGGCATTAAACATTTATGGAGCTGTAGAGGATCAAAGCCTCCACTGGAGGTGGTGGGCAGGCTGGAGGCCTGGGTTTGCAGATGGAAAGTAGTTCACATCAAACCACTTTCTGCTGCTGACTCAGTGCACCCTAGGCTCTTGCCACAGATCTGGTCCCATTCCTGGGGTGGAAGCTAATCCTCAGAGCCAGAACCCTCAGGTGATTGACTTTAGGTAACCCAGGACCTCAGACCTGACATCCCTGGCCATACCAGAAGCCACTGAGTCTGGAGTCTTGCTCAGAAATGACGGTGGCAGTGAGCAGAAGGCTGTGCCCCTACCATCTCTAGGATGAAGTATCAGCCCCTTCCTCTGCTCTCCTAAAACCCAAAGCCCCTTTGGATGCTCTGGTTTGAAAGCTGTCTTGCAGAAGAATAGATCTTTCTTGGTTTTGGGTTTTCTTTACCCTCCTCTTCTTGCTCAGAAAGCAAGTGTCATCCCAGCCAACTTCAAAACAAGTCACCAATGTGGCTGTGATCCCATGAGTTGACAGGTTGTTTAGAATTGGAAAAGCGAGGCCGGCTTCCTGAGGGATGTGGGCTAGAGAGCCACTCTCATCTCGGAGACGGCTAGTAACCCCCTCTCTGGCTTTCAACATCAATCTGTAGTAGTCTTCCTCCGGGGTTAGTAGTGAAGTACAATTCTTCCACAATGCTTGATGCCAGACTGATACATTCTGCTTTGTATACCTTCATAACGAAGTAACCCCTTCAAGGTAACCACCAAGAACAACCTGCCACTCAGATGACCAGAAACCCTCCTACAGCCTAGCCACAGATGACTCCAGCGTTACTCACTCTTTCTTATGGATTGGGGAGGGGCGTGGTTGGTGCAGCTCTGCTTTGCGGAACCAGTCTCCTTACTGACCTCAGTTACCTGGCAGTTTCCATGATGCAGGCTACATAAACCACGCCCCCACCCTGTCCTCCTCCTTCACTGAAACATGGTTTCACCCATCTGCTGTGTGAAGCCCTCAATGACTCAAAGCGAAGTCCCCCATATCTCTATTTCACAGCTTTCATGCGGCATCTGTGACCTGCCTTAGGCTCTAGGAATCCCCATTTATTTACAATATTCATTGAACATTTAGGATGTGCTGGTCACTGGGCTAGGTTTGAGTACAGGGCACATAGGCCTTGCAACTATCAAGTCAACAACTAGTAAACAGATAATGTAGTAAAAAAAAAGTTAGAAGTCAGGATCTTAGAGCAAAGAGCTAGGTAGACACAGTAAAGGAGCCTTGCAGGTCATCATAGGTTGTTCTGTGTGTGTGTGTGTGTGTGTGTGTGTGTGTGTGTGTGTGTGTGTGTGTACAGAAGCCAGAGTATAACTTACAGGAATTGGTTCTCCCCTTCTACTGTTTGGGCATGGGAAATAGAACTCTGGTTATCAGGCTTGCCAGCAGGTGCCTTTTACCCACTGAGCTATCTCACCTGGCCTGTGCCACTTTCAAATTGTGTGTATGAATTGAGTAAACCCTCAGACTGTAAGTCTTGATATAGATGAATGTTCCCTTGGACATTTTATCTTCCTCTGTTATGGGTAATGCCAATGTCTAGGAAGAATGAGCCCTTTGAAAGGCATGAGAAAAGATGCTTACCCTAAACTCTACTGCTCCCTAGATTGGTCCAGGCTCTGCCTCAACCTTGCTGGGAACCCATTCCACAGAAGCCATGTTTACCAGATCTTCAGTAAAGAGCGAGAGCAAGCTGTAGTATTATTCTAATCATGCAGTGCAGACCCATCCTCTGGGTTCAGGGCAGAGTGTTATATCCTGGGATTGTAGTTTGCAACGGACTCCCTCTTGTAACCCAGGCAGTCAGGAAAGTCATGTTGCAGGTTGCCAGAGAGCTTGCTTACCTTTCTTCTTATAGGGGTACCCAGCCATGCAGAGCCCTACAGTCAAGACAGTCGGGTGAGACCTCTAGCAGCCTTTAAGTCAGGATGAACCACCCTGATAGATCAGGTTCATCCTACGTTGTGGCTAACCCCCTTATCCAAGACCTGTGCAGTCCTCAGGGACCCAGGGAAGTGAGAAATGTCAGGAATGCCTGCGAGGAAGGAAGGCCTTCATGACACTCACCATTTCCAGACCTTAGTCAGCCACTTCTGTGCATGTTCTCCCATTCTGTGGACAATTCTTGTTCTTCCTTCCTCAGCCCCTCTCTCCTGGCTTCTCATTTCTGATCTTTTCTTCAAAGGCTCCCCTACCTGCCATTCCTTCTGCTACTCTCCTTTCTCTTCCAATTCTCCAGACAACTGTCCAAAATCCTCTCCCAGCATCTTCCCTAGATAACGCTGCATGCCACCTGCTGCCCGGGATTCTTTACAACAAGCAAGATGGCTCCCCAGAGCCCACAAAAGGATCTTCAGAGAATCAAAGGAGCAAAGCTGGAAGACTGTGAGGACCAAAAGACTCTCCAAGGAATGAAACTTAGGGCAGAAGTCACTTGCTTCCAGGATGAGAGGGGGGAAGTGCCATCTCAAATTATTGGGGTTTGACCCAAGTTCACATGGAAAGAACTGTCCTTTCAGCTGTCCTTAAAGGGATACAAAGAGTTCGCTTCCTTCTTCCTCTACAGATATTAACATCAGCCACATGTTTGTGTCCTGTTGAGTCTACTGAAATTCCTGTAATAAGCCTAACCATGTCTGTCTTGGGTCTGAATAGTGTAGCCATAAGTTCTGCAGAGCTGTGGCTAGCCTGCTGTTGGCCGGTGGCTTACTGGGACTCCTCGGGTCACAGAGTCATGGAGTCTTCCTTTTCTGTGCTATTGACTATTTTGGTTACTACCCCTTCTTCAGTTTTTTCCTCCATCTGAAACAATCCCGGTGGGCTGAAGGTGTAGCTCAGTGGTAGAGCTCCTGTCTATCAAGTGTGAGATCGTGTGCTGGGCCCTGGTTCCTAGCACGGTAAAAAACAAATGAAAATTTAAAACTAATACAGTCATAAAGACCCCTGATGTTCATGCTGATCCCATTTTCCCCATCAGTTCTAAGACCGAAGCTGGTACTGGCATAAAAGATCTGTTACTGTAGATGTTCTTGTTCTACAGATGAAATAGAGGAAGCAAGGTCTGGAAACCCATAGCTGTGTGGGGACCCAGGGTGCTGCCTTCAGCACCCCACAGCTTGACCCAGGTTGCCTCCTACCAAGTGGAGAATGTCTCCCTAGGACACAAGTGCCACTGGCTTTTAACTATAATATCAGGATAATTAAGCTTTTCTGTGAGCACAGTTTGCTGCTGATGCAGCTGCCTGGAGCCCTGGCATTTATTGAGCGCAAAGTAATAATTTATTGTCCTTTGTACACTCAAAAGCCGTCTTCATTATCGGCCCAGGATGGAGCTGCCACAAGGGCAGGCGGGCCTCATCAGCTGCCTCACTGATGTGCATCTTTCCAAGTCACCCTTTGTAGCTGTCAGGTACCAAGGTGGGGTGGAGAGAGAGGTGGGGAGGGGGTGTTCTCTTTAATGGAGAATACGATTAGAACCTAACACCTTGGAGGGCTACTAACCCGAGAGAGGGTGGCAAGCTTGGATGGGTGTGGGCAGTTCGGGAAGGCGGGGGCTGTGTGTCACATTAACAGGGCAGTCCTTTCCCCAGGGCTCGAAAGCCTGTGCTCTTGCCTCTGGGTCTTCTGCGCCTTTGCTTGAGACTTTACGGTAAGCCGCTCCTCCTGCGCCCCCGCCCCCAGCCCCGCGCGGCGATCCCGGGCGCCGACGCCAGGCGCTGGCCGTGGTGCTGATTCTGTCAGGCGCTGGCGGCGGCGGCGGCGGCGGCGGCCCCGCTGCTCTCCCCGGGACCCGCTCTGTGCCCCCCGCGCCCACGCCTCTCCCAGTCCCTAATCCCCCTACCGCGGCCCCGACCCGGGGCGCGGCCACAAGCAGCACCATGCGCCCAGCAGCCCTGCTGCTCCTGCCCTCGCTGCTGGCGCTCCTGGCTCACGGTAAGAGACCCCGGCGTCCGGCACAGGACCGGGGCGGGCGCGGACTCCCAGGGGTAAGGAAGCAAGACCATCCCGGCGCCTTGCTCCGTGCGTCCTGTTGTTCCTCCCAAGCACCGCGTCCCGCCGGCTGCGCTGTCCCCGGCGCCGACCCAGCCGGGCGGGGCGCGGGCTCCACGGGCGGGAAGCCGCCGCGGCTCCCGCCATTCGCGCCCGGCCGAGACCTCGCCTTTAATCATCTCCCCGGATCTAATGGGATTTCTCTGCTGCAATTCATCACGCCACCCCCTCCCCGCACACACGCGCTCACCCGCGCTCTCCCTCACTCCACTCCAGGCGTCTAGGGGCTCCCGGGCGCGTTGTGGGGGACGGGGGTGGGTGGCAGGTCGCGGGTGCAGAGTCGGGACAGTCCAGCTGGCAGCCCGCCGTTCTGCCTCCCCTGCTGGTTTCCAAACTTCGCTTGACTTTGCCGCTTATTCTGGGTCCCTCGTATCCTCACTGCAGAGGAACTGGGTCGGGTGGTGGCGGGACCCGGGACTGGGACATCTCTCACCTATCTCTGCCTTGACGCTGTCGAGTCAGAATTGGAACCTAGAGCACAATTCTGGGGAGACATTCGGGGACCCTGAGAGCCCATTGCCTTAGCCTCTCGTTCTTCTCTGGGCTGCAGCAACTGAGGTCCTGGGACTGGCTGCCCTCCCTGAAATTCTTTTCTTGCACACAGAGACACACACATGCACACACGCACATGCACGGAGCGCTGCTTCTCTTCGGCTCTGCCTTCCTGCCGGGTTCTATCGACCTCGGAGCCGCAGATTAGTTAGCGGAACTCACCGTTTGCCCCAGCCTCGGACGCTGAGTCAAGTCCCAACTTCATTGGTCTCGGTCAAGAAACGCTTGGCCTCGGAGTAAGCAGCAAGGGAGTTTGGAGGAAAGATGAGTAGGAAGCAGGAAGGGTCTGAAGCAAGTGGTTTTGGGAGTCTTCAAATGCTCAGGTCATTCTGTGCTTTTATTGGTCTCCTGCTGGGGTCCGCGAAACTGCACTTTGACTTGGGACTCAGAGTCCCTCGCCATATGGTTATGGTTCCTAGCGTCTGGTGTAGAGAAGGGAAGGAGGGAGGATTGTAACCTTCGGGCTCCATCCTCCTAGGCCGGAGAGTTTGGAGGACAGAACAGCCAGGGCTGAGCTAGTACCAAGCCGCTGCTCTCCCGTCCGGGTGGCGAGGGAGCACATCTTTGAACCTCTAGCCCTACCCACAAGTAGACCACGTCTTTGCCCAGCCCACCTGGCTGCCCACACTGGCTCCTCCTAAGAGTAGGAAAACTTGGAATTATATGTTCACCTTGCAGGGAAGAAGAAGAATTTCACAAGCCCACTTCAGGGATAAGAAGGGATGAAGAGAAACCCACCTTCTGGGCCAGAAATCTAAGGTTATCTCTGTGCATTCGGGATCTGTATGGGGTCTGGCCACATCCCAGCTCCTTCTCTGGAACAGAGTCTGTGTCTGTTCCCTGGCAATGGAAGTTCTTGTTCTAGTGTGTGATCTGGATTCCTTAGGTCTCAGGATGTCTGCAGTTCAGGAGCTCTGAGTGTTGGGTGACAATTCATTAGTTAAGCCACTAGTGGTAGGTGTAATCTTTGCCAGCCAGCTTCTTGCAGGTTGGAGAGAAACCATAGGTCTCCAGGAAGAAAGCTGGTATGGTAGAGAGCCCAGATTGGAGGTATGGAGGTTCATGTTGGGAGGAATTTACCCACTCTGGCCAAAAGTCTGTGTCCCCAGCCAGTGTCCTTCTGTGGGGTTGCCTTACTATGTGTTTTAGAGGTAGGAGAGGATTTGGAAGCAGTGGCTAGCCTGCATGTGAGAGAGCCTGCACCCAGAGTTGGGTGGCCAGGGGGCCCCTACCTATTTAACATAGATGGGTGGTTGTGGTTCGTCATTAGGGTTCTGAGCCCTCTCATTTTGGAGGTAGCTCACTTGACTATCGGGGGTTCCTGGAGACCTTAGTAAAGGAGAGATTTGTGGAATAAAAGCCTTTGGCTGCAAGTCTTTCAGCCAGAGAATGCATCTCTGCAGCCTGGCAGCCTGGGAGACCTCAGAGCTGTGCTCACAAGAGGGACTCAAGCCACAGGATACAGTCAGCCACAGTCTAAACCTTCAACCTTCAACGGTCCAGGGAAGCAAGAGGCTCTGAACACCAAAGAGATAGGTGGATAGTGCTCCGCCCCATGGGCAAAAGCCCCTCGTTCTTTTGCAGCCTCTTAGATGTATTTGGTTCCAGGTATGACAGGCATTACATACTATGGGGCATCCTCCCATCCCACGGGAAGTGCCAGGGAAGTCTTGCCACAGTGGGGGAGAAGACAGTTCAACAGGAGCTGTGTCTGCCTAGGCCTGTTGTGTCAGCTTAATGATTTTTAATGAGCAATTACCTTTAGTCATTCTCTTAATTTCTGAATATCAATAAAGTTAATTAAACTCTGCATGTGTGAATGTGGCCTGGGGAGATTGTGAAGGTAAAAACAGCCAATACTGGGGTGGGATTAGGTCTCCAGGTATAGAAGCTGCCTCCGTAGTTATGTGACCTTGGACCCAGGGCTCCATCTCTCCAAGCTTTGAGAGTATTGTGGAAAGAAAAATGGGAGCGGGAGCAAAAACAGCAAGCCTCAGTTGCTTATTCTGGCAGAAACTAGGGGATAAAGTGTAGGGGGGAAAAAAAAGGAAGGATTTGGCTTCCAGGATTCCCACTGCTGCAAGGGTTAACCTAGGACTGTCTTAACCTAAAATGCAAATTGCTACTTGGAGGTGGAGCTCTGGTTGGTGCTGGCTTCTGATGGCTTATTGCTCAGAGTCTGGGGGCTGCTGCACAAGCTTTGCCACACCCGGCTTTCTAGCCTGGTTCTTCAAGATCAGGGCTCTTGCTGGGGAGAAGGGCTCATGGGAGATATCTTGGATTCCACTTAGAGCCCTAGAGGTGGACTTGGTAGGCAGGGAATCCCTGCTGGGTTTCTGAGGAGACTGCCCAAGAAGAAGAGCAGGGTTGGCTTTTGGCCCCTCACGGGCCTAAGCGAATCAAGCTTGGCAGGTCCTGGCGGCCATCCCAGCCTCAGCAGGGTGGCAGCTTATAATGCCTTGGGGATGCTGCGGGGCACTAATGGGGAGCAGGAAGACAATGGGATTGGGCTTAATTAGAAACTGAACTACCCCCTCCCCCATCCCCACGTCTGCCTGAACAGAGGGACACATCAGAAAGGCTGCCTTCTTACCCTCTCACTCATCCCGTCCCAGGCCCTCCAGTCTCCTCCAGCTCTTCTTGTCTCCACCCCTCCTAGCTTGAGCCAAGCCCATCTACCAGATGGTTCGCAGCTCAGGAATCCTTCACCCCTTCTTGGCCAGAGTTCTCAGGGTTTGTTATTCTACCCTCCAACCTCGTCAGACAGAAAACAATAGACAGGGGTAACTTCAGTAAAGGAGCCTCTCAGCCCAGATGAGGAAGAGGCCAGCTTACCGTGTCCTTGGCTCACCATAGACCTCACCCTCGGGAGCCATCATTGTAAGGGTGCATGGAATTCACCATGTCGCTAAGCCTGGTTTTCACCTGTGAGGGGCTAAGCTCTATAAATAAGAGTCACCTAGAAGAGGAAAAACTTCCAGCCCCAGTCCACAGCCAAGAGGTAGAAAGCAGGTACTAGGAAGTCTCGAGGGCCAGTTCCAATAGGAAGCAACATCATTCCAGAAAGATGACTAATCCAGCCAGGTCAAAGGAGTCTTAGCATCAATTTTTCAGAGAAGCCCAGTTCTCGGCAGCTTTTGGACTCTTGATGTTCCTTCTACCCGTGTTTTGTTTTTTTCTTCCCCTTGGCCAGCCTGGTTAGGCTACTCCATGCTTTGAGTCTGGCTTGAATGGCACTTCAATAATTGGCAGGTGGCATCTGCTCTATGGCCTGTCCTCCAGCCTGGGTCAGAGGACTTGTCCATGTTCCCACTGTCTGTTTGGTGCCCCATCTGGTCCCCAGACTGTTGGATCAGGAGCTTTTCCCTGGTTGTTTGAAGCTCCTATCAATACCAATAACTCAGGAAAGAGAACAGTAAGTCTACCTTGCTCACCCCATGTATCTTGAGTAACTCCAGAAAGCCTATTTAGGAGAAGCTTAGGGGTCAGCTGCCTGGTTAGAATGGAATGACGGTCCTCGAGCAGCTGGGACTGTGTCTTGAAGCTGAGTTTGCGTAGCAAGTACACTATTTTTACATAGATTGTATGTTGAGACTTTTTTCCTCCTTTCCTAACAGTTGGCCAATTATTCTGCCATAAATTACAGCCTTTACTTAGATTTTTTCCTTCTACAAATTAAGTTGTCATGCCATCAGCCTTAGGTGGTTTGGGGGCGGGGTGGATGGCCGTTCTTAATTTGGTAAAGCTTTTCCTCAGTCATCCCTTACTGCCACCACTACTTGTGTCCCCAGTGGCTCAGGCCCTACCTAGCATGTGACACACATCAAATGCATGTTAAGCAATTTCTAAGAACTGCACGGGTAGAAATCAGCACAGGAGAGCACGGGTTCCAGCCTCTCAAATCCCCTCCCCCCAGTTCGTATCTGGCTGAGGCTCCAGAGTGCACTCAACCAGTCAAGCTTCAGAAAACCACCATGCAGCCTGGAGAGACTGATACGGAGCTCTGAGATCAGATATGCCCTGGAATGGAGTAGCGGAGGCCTACGAGTAATCTAGACGGTAATGCAGATCCATGAGCCTTTCTCACTCCTACAAAACGTGGGTGTTGGGGGTACAGCCATCTAATCATTCAGTCTACCATTCATTTGCTCATTACACAAACATGGTTTGAGATGTAAGGATCGGCCCAGAGAACACCCTTAGCCACAGGGGCCAAGGCTTCACTGATCAAGCCTTTTCTATTTAATGCTCACAGTAAGAGGTTTCTATCCCCACTTTACAGATGGGAAAAACAAGTTTGGGAGAGATCAAGTCACTTACCCTGGGCTGTC